CTTTCTTTCTTCTCTTCTCTCGACAAACTTTTCAAATTAAATGCTGAAATAAATAAACATCATTGAAACATCACAGGCGTCAAAGATTTTTAAGTATGACCCTCAGTTTCCCCAATATATATATATCAATCTTGACACTTTCTTGTCTCTGTAGCATTCACTCTTTCTTCTTTCCTCTTTCCTACTGAATATCAAAATATTCAAGTGAAATAATGCGGGAAAATGGAGAATAAAAGGCGGGGATAGAATGAGTGAAAGTATATTTCGATGAAATTGAGAAACAAAAAAAGGAAAGATAAATTTCTGAAATTATTCGCGAGATTTGCATATTTTCGATGAAGTTGTATTAGAAAAATTATAAATCACATTTGATAAACATGTTGAATTAGATAAGATAGATAGATGCATGCATGCATGCAACGTTTACTGCATGCAACGTAATTTTTTTTTCTTACAACAATTTGAAAGATGCGGACAGACAAATAAATCTGAGACGTAGAGATGAACAATGATGCAGGGAAATAACCAGACAGACATCCTCCCTTGATCATTGTTGTTGATGTGACAACTAATAATAGTGATAATACTAATAGCAGTGCTCCGGATGAGACGAGCGCTATTTTTGCAAAATCTGGAAGGGCTGAAAAATTCTAGTGGACGGGAGGGAAGAAAGCGGAGAGAGTGACTTACTTTACAACGTTATAAACAAATGTTCTTTTATTTCCGCAGTATATTTGTGTCACTAGTAGTAGTTGTTGTGCTGTAGTTCTTACTTTTGTTTTTGTTTTTGTTGTTGTTGTTGCTGTCATGATAGTAGTAGTTGTTGTTTAGTCAAATAAGGAGAAGGCATAGGACGGTAAGGTAAGATGACACGAATGTAAAAAGGCCGGTTAAAATTTTTTTGAAATCCATCGAAATAACTTCCGGAAAAATTAATGAAATAAGAGAAGAATGAAAAAACGACAAAAACTGAGTGAGGACAAGTGCAAGATTTGTGAAAGCATTTTTTAAATGAACAGAGAGAAGTTAATGAAGCAACGCAAAGACGTGATATATAGAAGGATAACAAGCCGAGTGAAGAAAACTCCAAAATTTTTGAAAATATTTTCAAATTAACCGAAATTTCTGATTTCCATTTGCCATACCAATTTTTCCCAAAAAGAGAAAATGATATAAGCAAGAAAGCTTTAAGTTACATAAGGAATGAATTGATTCTCTAACTTTCCTAAAGTTTGATTGTATCTTTCATTTCTTTTTTTCAATTCTTAATTACAGTTTTTAGATTTCGCAAAAGGTTGAATGCAAGAAAAAAGTATTCTGTTATAGATTTCAAATCGATGGAATTCCGCGAAACCAAATTCGCTCCTTTAGTGATATTATAATGCAACTTAACATCTAATTAAACATTTGATTTATTTTGATGATCGTACCAGTTTTGAATTCTTATTCAGTCCTTCTCTTCAGGAATGAAGTTATTATTTTCAGATCTAGTATTTAATTTTAGTAATTTGAAAAGAACTGAAAAAACGATCCTATATTACATTTTTCATCATATCAGTTTTTCACTCCTACAAATTTACTAAGCTTTTCCTTAATGTTACCGCCAATTTTTTTCTCTTTTACTCAATAAGTTAATAATTTAAATTTCTAATTAAACTTACCCTGAATTTTCTATCCGTTGTTATGGGTATAGATTCCGGAATATACAGTTCCTTTCCATCGCTTTCTACTAATTTGGCCATGAACTCGATTCATATCGGTGATATGGTGATATCTATCCTAAAATCCACAAATATATTGCCATGCCGTAGTTTATCATAGCCAACATATCGCGAGCTACTTTCAATGAATCTGAATATGCTTGGATCCAGAAAATCATATTATAAGTAGAATAGCTCACGATGTGTTGGTTATGTCAAATAAACATAACTAATTTATCTCTTATATTCAAAGTGTATTTGAATATAAGAGGTAAATAGAGCTGAAAATTCGAAGCAAATAACTTAAGCAGCTATTTGATTGTTTTGTAGAAGGCGCTGTAATATAGCATGACTAATTTGCCTCTTAGATTCAAAATGTGTTTGAAAGTTTTACGAAATTGATTCGATCGTTAATTTTTTGAAAATATTGCTATGTTAGCCATCAGTTCGTTTCCTTATGTATTATTTTCGTTAGAAAATTTGTTTGCAGTTTTACCAATCAAAAAACAAAGTTAAATGCTTTCGAAGATGCAAAGGTGAACGGTGACAATTAAACTTCATCGCAAACAATACCAATCATTTATCGGACGACAAATTTCATTTAATGCTAAAATTAAAAAATTCCATTGGTTTCCATATTGCTTTCTTTCTGTCATACTGACAGATTTTTCCTTCTATCCTTTTGCCTGTAATTTCCGCTTTTCACCCAATCAAATCAAGGAAGATTCGATATTTCTCGGAAGATAGCTGATTCTCGCAGGTTTGCTTTGATATTTTCATCTCTCATTTTTATATTATTTAATTTTTCTGAATTGTATAAAGATTAGCATTCTTCTTATGTTATAATTTTTTTTTTAATTTTCATAATTTTATAAAATTCATTTGACTTTATCACCACCTATTAACATTACCATTCGCTGATCGGATGTTTCGAAGAAGTCACTGATCCCTTCTCTCATAGCAATATATTTTAATTGTGAAGAAAAATTGATGACAATAAATATATGCAAAAGTGGGGTTGAACAATTGGTGTTGTTAGTATTCAGCTGAGAAAATTTTTAATTGCTACTAATAGATTTGAAATTGATTTTAAAATTTGTATTGATCTTATCGGTTCTAATTACGCTCAATTTTGCTTTTGAACATAATTTGAAATTTATATTAAAAAGTTCACGTTTAAAAACAAACAAGAAGAATGAAATGGATGGACTTTATTTATCGTTAATTATGAGGAAAAAAAAATAGAAACGATTGAAATGGTAAAATCAAATTTGAATTATTATAATGGATAGCGATCTTTTTGGTGTATATCTATGAAGTCCACGGAATTCCAGCGATTGAAGTAACTGATAAATGTGACATAATCTATCAAATCATCGCTTTTAATTTATATTAGAATTTTTGGAGAAATAAATAAAAATTAGAAGGGAAAAGGAATGAGAGAAACAAATTGTTCATTGAGGGAAAAAACAAAAAAAGATGAAATTTTGATTTATAATTTTAACGAAGCTTTTTCCTATTTTCCAAATCGATTTTGGTTCAGAGGACAAGAAGAGAAATGGATAAGGCATAAATGAGAAAGATGTTGAATGACGGGAAGGAAGTTGAGGATTGTCCCAATTGCCACCATATTCACTCCAATACAACATTGTCATTGTTGTGGGTGGCTAGGTTAGGGAATTTCGTTTATCCATTGATATTGAAAACGAAAAAATTTTCGTTTTCAAATTTTTGAACTTACGTTCTATTCTCTCTTTGGAATTATCGCTTTTGAATTGGTACTAAATGTTGAAAGTAATAAAATTTTGATTTGTTAATTTCAAACCGAATAGAAAGGTAATTCAAATAACTTTTAATAATACTGAAAAATAACGTAAAAGTGAAATAGGGGATAAATTATTATACCTTTGTTTGGTAAATAAGATAAATTATTGATGAAGGAATATCAATCATTTATTGAGTTAACAGTTTGTCAGGAAGTTGTAAATTATAAATTCTTTCTATCAGAAATACAGCAAGTATCATCGATTTGAATCTTTTAATTTTTTCACTTGTTGAGAATATGAAATTTTCAAATTCAAAATTATCTGTAATTTAATTTATTCTTAAGAATTGATATTAAATCTATATCTTATTTTTTAGACAGCATTTATTGCAAATAATGTTCGAAGGTGGGTAATTTGTAATTAAATGGAACTTTCATGAAATAAAGTAGTGTTAATCCATGTTTTGCTACTAATTCAAAAGATATTATCATTGATGAAGAAAGATAGGATTGGGAGAGAATTTCTGTCTTCAATTTAATATCTTCCATTAATTAATCTTACCTTTCATATCAATTAAAAAATAAAAGTATGAAAAAGGGAAAAGAAAAGAAATTTTGGAAAGGAAACGCTGTTTTCATATGAAATTCTATTTAAAGAAGGAAAATTTGAAACTTTGCTTCTTCCTCTATCTGTTAGAATGTCACAGTGAAAAGGAAATCTTAAAGAATTGAATTTTAGAATGAATGAAATCCAATCCTAAAGAAGAACGATGTACTTTTCGTTGATAAATAATTTGGTAAATAATGAAAAAGGAAAAAGAGCTTAAATTATTTCCTAAAAAGTATACGACGAGAATAAGTATAATTCACATTTTCATTTTAATCCTAAACTATTTGTTTTCTTTTCTTTCTCTTCCTTTTCTCTCTTATATTGTTCTTTCTTATTACTTACTATTGTTTCGATTTTAACCGTTAATTTCTATGATACAATGAAATTAAGGCTGTTGTTTACTCAGAATGATTTTATTTTATGCACTATTTATGTTAATTGTTTCTTTCAATTTGTAATTTAATTATAGGTACAAATAACTTCTTTTTTTGTTAACAAATAATTGCAATCATTGATTAGTGAATTAATTCTAAAAGTAACAAAATTTTGTATTATTATTATTATGATAATATGATGTTTTTATTGATTAGCTGATAGTTCAACGTTTAAAATATTAATATGATTAACAATTAGTTGATTATAAAATATTAATATGATTAACAATTAGTTGATTAGTCGAGAAAATCCGATTTGGTGAATTGGAATATGTTAATTGTTTCATAAATTAAATTGTTAAATTGATTAGTGAATTTCATATATTTCATACCAATATTTTTTTCTTTGCTTTAATTGCAATTACTTCCAAAGTGTTAATCTCTTTTTATTACTTAATAGTTATTAATTAATTAAATATCTTTCCAGAAAAAGAGCGTCCGACACAAAGTTTGTGTCGGGATGAGGTAGTGGAGCGCGCAAATGCAACGGTATGCCGTTGGATTGCGAAATTTGGTGCTTGCTATCCGAACGAAGGCGACTCATCGAAAGGTTATCCTAATTGCACCTTGCATTCCGGTGTTTCTCGGTATTTATACGTGTATCACCATGTTCAATCAAGATTAGTGGATGGTCGGTGGTACAGGATAGTTCTGGAATGCTGCATGCGGTGGATTAATAGAACCATTTATAGTTCTTCATAAAATAGCTTACAATGTCAAGGATCATCAATCTGATCATCAGTTCCCTCCTGACTATTCGAATTTTGATGTCCGAAATACTGTCCCTTTTTCTTTTCGATTGGTTGAAATGACTTCAATCCGTCTCTAGTACCTATTGTTTTTTGTTGTACGATAAAATAAATTCTTAGTTATTCTCGTGGGAAGTATTTCATAATAGTTCTGTCAAAATCAGTTATTGATTTCTTGAAAATGGTTTCAATCTAACCGCATACTTCACTGTCGAGTATATTTATAATAGACTTATATAGTTTGTTGCCTTTTAGGAATTTTTATATTTAATCGTCTCATAAAATGCAATAAAATGGATTATTTGGTTAAATCTAAAATTTAATTTAATTTCACAAATGAAATTTTTTTTAGGCTTTGGAGGTTACGCACCATTCAGTCATCTGACGAGAAACGTTCAAAAAGACGTTTCAATCGTTTATTGCGCGCTTTTGATACGGAAGATCTCGCTGCTATACTAAAGGTTTTCATGGTTAATTAAGAAATTTCCTATTTTTTTTGCATTTTAATAAGTGGAAGTTGCAACGGTTTATGTTTGGATTTCAGTATTTATTTGATATTTCCACAACGGAATCCAAAAAATGAAGAAGTTCCGGAAAAAAGGACAAAGCTTATTTTCTTGTTTTCTGTTTTTTTCAATTTTGAATTAAAATCTTTGTTTTCATAAGGTCCCGGTTTTTAAACTTTATTTTTAATTGTTGAATAACACATTAGCTCGTAACACGTATTAGTTCGATGCTTCTGCTAATTAAGCTCAAATAATTAGATTATTTGCCATACAAAACTTTATTACTTAGCTTTGACAGTTTTACATTTATTTGTTTATTAATCGAATTTCTATTATCTTCTCTTCAAAGGCAGTGGAAAGTGGTGGCCGAGATATTAAACAGTGTGCTCCCGGACCACCAATGGATGTAATGGAAGAGATGCCCAGTTGCTCACGAGATGTTGCTGGAACGGAGGATGATGAAGGTTTCCTGGATCATCGTTACGAAAATACCGGTTTAATACCACAAATTGATAAGCCTATGTCTATACCTTATCTTTGTTGTAAATTATGGCGATGGAAAGAATTACAGGTGAAATTATACACCTTAATTTTAATAATTATCTTGTTTAGGAATGAAATAATGCAGCAATTGCAAAATAATTATGCAAATTCAAAATATAAGGACTCGAAATTAAACGAACTTTTTTGTTTCAGTTTTAAATTTTCATTTAGAATTTGAATGAATTATTTTACTACCTGAAAAAAAAGACCGCTTCATTTGCACGTATTTTGTTGATTTTGTAATAAATTGTTATGTATGAATATTACATAATGTTAAGCAATTAACAATGATTACAGGTAGATGCAGCATTGCATAGGTTGGATCCATTGCCATGGTGTAGATTTGGTCGCGTCACCATGAATAATGCAACTGTTTCCTGTTGCAATCCTTACCACTACGCTCTATGGATCATTGGTAAGCCCTTGGCTCTTTTTACTTCATGGCTACTTACAGTGAGCCTAACTGCTTTTTTGTTTATGCAAACATTAATTTGCCATCTGCAAATGCATACAACTAGTTCTTATTTGATATAGTGTGGTGTGCATTGCTTATGCAACTCTTATAGCGTGCAAAACCTATTACATGATGCAAATTACGAGTGATACACATTTATTAGGTCGATATCTGCTTACGTATGGTTGCTCTCACAATCTTTACTGTTGTTATTGTTATTAGTGCTGCCACTAATGTCGTTGTGATAGCGGTGATAGTGCGATTAATTTTCCCTTTTTTCTATAAGAATTTCTATTGCTAGTTAAATTGAAGGATTTTGCGTCATATTTGTTTAAAACAATAGATGGAAATTACTTTAAAACATATTTTATTCGTGCAAATACTTCTTTATCGATCAAAAAATATGGAAAAAAACCCCATATAAGCGGTGGAAATTGGAAAACTTAAAGGATTTTTTGAAGATATCATTTTTTGTTTTAATATAAATTTCAAATTTCATTGCTTATTCAATCAGATTCTCCTGGTTTTTTCAAATAATGGGAAGCTATTTGATATTTTGGAATTGCAAATTCTTGAAGTTAATTCATATTTCAGTAAGCAAATTGAATTAACCCAATTTTTGAATCCAAAAATAATAAAGTAAATTTACTGTTGACTATGGAGTAATTTAATTGTGCTCTCAACAAAATTTCAAAATACAAAAATAGATTTTTGATATTTCACCGTCATTAACACTTTATAACTTTGTTGCCATCTTAGTCATAATTTTAACTTTAACTTAGATTAAAATTCTTACTCATTATTTTTAATACGGATTAAAATCAAGTCTTTTTGAATTTTTCAGAATTAGGCTTCATTTCTTATGGTTGCTTAATAACGATGATAACAATAATAAATAATAAATAATGGCAATAATAAATAATAAAATGATAGCAATGATAATAAAATTATGGCAATAAATAATAATGAAGCACTGATAATAATAATAACAAATAATAATAACATTAATATTATTAACAATAATGGTTCGCATGAAATATGAAAAATAATGCGAATTTTTCAATACTCTTTTACAAGAATATTTCCAAATTATGGATTTTTTTGTAGAAATTTTGTTTTGATAAATTTCGAAATATCTCAAATTAATTTGATTTTAAAAATATTTCGGATCTTTTTTTTTTTCATAATTTCTTTTAGACAATATGTCACCAACAAATTTGAGAAAAGCATCACTGTGTAAACGAAGACGGCAAGCAATCGCTGGTATACAAATTTCTTATCTAAGAAATTATTGAAAATTATTTAAAAGGAAGTTAATTTTGTAAGAGTAATTAGATTCCTGTTGATTGATGAAGAGACATTTTACAAGATGTCATCAATCCTATAATCCTCGTTCTCTGGCGCTAATGGTTGTTTTCCTCTTTCTTATCCATTTTTAACTATTTGAATTATTTCATCCTCCGATGTTTCTTCTGGAAGCATCTTAGAATTGTTAATTAGATTTCTTCGATCTCTCCTGACATTCCTTCATTGTACATTGTGACTTTAGTAAATTGTCAGAAATTTGAATTAAATCATTCCTTTCAAAATTTAAATTGAACTTTCGAATAATCAATTCCTTGGAAACAAATATTTTGGTAGTAGGATGAAATGCATCTTTCTTGACAAAGAATCGTATGAGTTAATGAAAATGTTTTTCCAACGGATGAACGAAGAGAGAGGACATCAAAAGAAAGAAGAAAAAGAGAGAATGAGAAAGCAAAGAAGAGGTACGCCACCTTTCCTTTCAGGATCACCAGATGTTCCGAGAGGAAGTTTCAGATTCTCACCGCCTGTGTCTTAAAGGAAATCGTAAAGCAATGTTTTTTAACATTTTGATGCTTGCGACGATATATTTTTTGCCATTTTTCAGCAAATCCGGATTCGTCTTCCGAAGAGGGTAGTTTATCTGATGGCTTAAATGGCGCCGTTTCTATTATTGATCATTCCTGTAAGTCACGAAAAGAATTATTTACGAATCTCTCCTGAGTTTTACTGTAAATGTGATTTTTTAACTCTTTTAAGAATGAATAAAATTCTTTTGATCCTATTTTCGAAGATATTCCAGCAATTGATATCGGTAATTTGGATACCTATCTCAAAATTTACTATTAGTAATTTATTATGATGTTGGAATAATAATTATTAATTAGTGTTAACGATGGAATAGTGGAATGTATTCTTAAGATTTTATAGGAAATTAGGAAAGATATAAATTTTAATAATTAAATATCAAATTGTTTAACGGATTGATGCATTTTGTATCCTTTTTCTTTCAAATTCCTCATATTTTTCCCAACGCAATGATTTTAGTTATAACAAATGATACCGGTTTCGGTGATGAAATTACGGGCACAAGTGTTGCAAATAACATTTTATCACCGTCGCGCATATTGCCACTTTCGGATTCACCAACACGCGGTACTCAATCTTATTTTTCGGGTACAACATCTTTCGTTATTTGTCTACCTATTAAAATATTTACTTGTATTCTTCTTTACATAGCTAATGCCTATTTTCTGCATCGTTCAATTATGCCACCTTATGCTGTCTATGTTGTCATTAATTACTGTCCAGTTTTAATTTAAAATGTTAAGTATTATTTCACGCTAAATGTGAATATACGTTCCGAATTATTGCAATCGATTTTATTCTGTTGATAATTTTGAACATAGTTTAATATTAAGTTTCTTATGTTGCCGATTCTGCTCAGATTGTTTGAGCTATAAATCATAGCCTTCTTTAATCGGAAAATTGTTGGAAGATGTTGAATGTGTTGATAGCAAAGTTTAATGGTTTGTAATTGTTGGTTAAATGCATCACTATCAAATGGAGGAAAAATAGAAATAGGAAAAGGAAATCTTCCAGCAATTTTCATTAATCCTCATGCTAATTCAATAAACACCACGATAAGTAGACAAATATCCATTTAGCAGGAAAGCAAACGAATAGATAATTTAGTATCCCAGAAAAAATTAGAAAGCCCATTGAAGGTTTTAAATTTAAAGAAAGCTTTGAATTTAGAAGAAAAATTTTGTAGTTATAACTAATGAAATGGATGCCAATTATTGCAGCTGGTAGTAGTAACACCTTCAGTTGGGAACACTTCAAAAGTATAGTTTGATTTTTCGTTTACGTGGTAGGTGTTGAAAAAATGATAGTTTATATTGTTTAGTTATCTTAAGGAGTATCAATGATTGGTTGTTGGAAAAAAACTGGTAAGATGTTTTAATATGGATGAAGGTTTCAGCTTCAGCTTGGGCTCATTTGTACAGGTGGAAAGAGAAAGAACGGATGGATGAACATGGTGTGACACTTTCCGGACAATTTGTTGCGGTTGGATTATTGGCTCATTCTGTACACGATGGCCAAAATGTCTGCAATCGATGGGATATTGATAACGAAGTATCATTTGCACTAATTAGACAAGCGGATGTGGATGAATCACAAGAAGTATGGCTCTATAATAGGTATTTCTTTTCTTGATAATTTCTAAAGGAGTCCTAAAAATTTCTTAAAGAATTCATTAGTAGAAAAGAAATTGGAAAATTCGTTTAAGTCAAATCGTTACTTCAGATTTTTTTCTTTCTTTAAAAATAATTCCATTGAAAAATCATATGAAAATGATATCACATGTTGTATGTGTGATACACATGTGAATGGACATATAAGAGATAGAAGTTCCTTTGAAGCAGTGAGATGGTAGCTATGATTAGCATTTTGAGAAGTAACAAGTGAGAAATAAAGATATATAAGTTGTAAGGTAAGACATGAATGGATCAGTGAAGAGTAGTAAATGAACTAATATGATAATTATTGCAGTGGTGATAAACCGTTGTTCATTTCCATCGCGTCATCATTTAGTTTACATAAATCGGAAACAATCAGAAGGGTGAGTAGCGGGTATTGTTACCGGGTTCATCGTGAATGTAGTAATCTGTTACTGAAAGCGAGAACTGAAAGCCGTGTCGCGAAACGTGATCCGGCTAATACGCTCAGTTTTCTGAATATCAGTGTTGGCAAAGGTTGGGGTGACAAATATCATAGAATAAATCATACAGACACTCCATGTCGTTATGAGGTCATTTTTGTGCCGGATAATTTATGAAGCAATCCACTAGAATGAAATCATCTACGGATATTTGATGATATATGATTTTTATAAATTATGAAAATTTTCCTTGAAATAATTATCATCAAATAATTGAAAAAAACTTTGATTTTCAAATTTCAAGAGGAGAAGGATTATGAGTGTGTGATTGCGACTGTCGATTAAGCAACAATTATCTATAACTGAATAGTTTGAAATAAATGAAATTAAATTGTTATGTCGAAGATTTGAGGTAAATGATCTCAAGGCTGTTCTTATTTATGTCTGTTGATGATTCGTTTTCTTTTTTAAGAAATACTTTGTATTTGTCTTCTTCATAATCGATTTTGCTCTTATCTAGTCAACCGCTTTCACTTTTCGTTTATTTCATACTGAAGAAAAGAGGGAAAGAACCGTTTTCTGGATGTCGATTCATATTTCCGAAATTGCATCCTTTCCGTTTTTAAAATTGTTAGAAGCATAAAGAAATACTTCGAAACAATGTTAGAGTTTGTTAAAACATTTTAAACTGATAATGATCTAATTACGGATAAACTGAAAGATGTTACAATCGATGATGTTCCAAAAATTCTCCATGATTTAGAAATGATCGTTTCATTGAGACATCCCAGAAGATCGTCTCCTCCAACCGTACATAAATAATATCCCCATAAAATTAGTTATTAAAGAAGAAATTGTGAGCTTTATTAATTAATCATTTACCATTTCTTTGATTTTGGTAATTATAAATTGTCTAATTGTCAGCGTTTTGCATCTTTCAATAGTTTTTTTCCAAAAAATTTCAACTTTGTTTTTTCCTTCTTTTTTATTTGTGAACTAAATTTTCGTTACAAATAATTTGTTTTGATTTGTTAAAATATGCAACATTCCCACTATGATTCACGTATTTCTTCATGTTTTGATGCTTTTGTGATTTTGCATTAAGAATGTTTTGATAAAGCTTTAAGATTTAATTTGATTTCCTTTTTCCATTCTATTCACTTCCTGTAATTTAGATCAAAATTGAACTGAATATTTAATAAATCAGTTGAAATTTTTCGATCACATATTTGTGCTAATTTTTATAGATTTGGAAATTTCATGTTTGAGATTCTGAGAAATGCTTAAACAATTAGAAATCTTATTTTATGCTAATTTGAAAATTTAGCATTCTGTTGATAGTTCCTAATTTTTTCCTGCCTTCCTGTACCCTGCCATATGCAATTATTAGCTGTTCAAGAAAGAAAACAATACGTTGTTCAAATTAATAACTAATTATTGTATACTTTTTTGCATTCCTTTCTTTATTTTGCTGTGGAAATTACTTATTAACTATGTTTGAAAAATGATTCATTCATCAGTTTTCTCTCACAAATTCTCAAACAATTTATTTTAGAAAATAGTAAATTTTAATTTTTATTTTCAATTTGAACTTTGCTCCATCTGCAAGCATGAAATTTTTATTTTCTTTAAATGATATTTTGTTGGAGAAAGTTTCTCTTATTTGATTAAATTACCTATTTTTTCCTTACTTAGGTACTAATCAAAATGAACTTTGCATAGCTACTATTACTACCAGTCGTTTTCCTTTTCTCATATTTGTTGTGATGCGAAGGAGAAATAATCTAATCGAGCAAACATTTAAGAATAATAAGAAATGATAATGACCTTTTGGGAAATAATACTTCAGGCTGCTATCCAAAATTCAAGTTTAACTTTTACGGAAAAGATGCATTTCTTTATTTCAAATGAAATTTCTTGAAAAGATTTATTGAAAAATCAATCGTTTGTTGAAATTGATGAGAAGGATTATCCTATTATCATACTCTTAATCCTTACTTACAAATTCATCGAACTGTTTTTTTGATGTCATGCCAGTTTGCCATATATACATATTTTAGTTTTGTTGTATTTTATTTTTGATTTCATTTGTTTCCTTTTTTTCCGTTCAAATTTAATTGTTGAATCGTATTATACATGAACATAACGTATAATCAAACAGTGAAATTATTGTTTTATGTTCCCTTTTTTGAATATTTCCATTTTTTATTAAATTTTTTCAAATTCTTCTCTTTCTCCAAATTTATGGTTTGGCGATATTTCAGCTTTATTGCTTTATTGCTCACTTTCTGAAGTTTTATGATGGTATACATAAGCGACTTTTTCAACAACGTTAACTTCCATTTTTAATGGAAGGAAAAAAAATCCTTCTTTAAAATGATCGATCGAATTAATTCTGAAAAATAGTTTGAAGATTGTAAGATTGTAATAATAAATAACATGGTGATAGTGATATCAAACACCTTCACGTGGAACTTATGTCTATAACGACAAAAAATATGTTTGACAAATAATAACTGATGTGTAAAATATAATTTTGAAATTTAAGTCGTGGAAAAGAATCAATTTATTCGGTTTCAAAAATAATTGAAAAAAGTATGGAAAAGATGAATTATAAAAGTTATTGCCAGCAATATCCTTTGAGCATCATTCATTTGATGTGTCATCGATCGACGTTTTTCATTTAAATGAATCCAAGCCAACAGAGAACAGATGGAATTACGTGAAATAAGTTAACGTCAGTTATTGTGAAAATCATTGAGAGTTATGATTTACGTTTGCTGCGTGGAATCCTTCGTGTAGAGATATGAGTAATCATATTGGTGTGTGATAGCAAAGAGAGGATATCAAAAGAAAGAAGAAAAAGAGGCAATGAAGAGGTACGGCACTTTTCCTTTTAGGATCCATCTGATGTTCCGAAGGGAAGTTTCAGATTCTCATCACGTGAGCCTCAAAGAAAATGGTAAAGCAACGTTTCTTTAATATTTTGATGCTGACGCCGATATATTTTTGGCATTTTTCAGCATCCGGAATCGAGGAAGGTTTCAATGATGTCATTCCTGTTATTGATTATCCTGTATTGAAGTGATAAATAAATTATCTTGTTTTAGTGACAAGATAAAATAGGTTATTCGTTCCACGTGTTTTTTCACATGAACAAGCTGTGAACTTAGCTGATGACACTAGATGACATTAATTTTATTTCGAGGCACAATGATAACAACGTAAATTATTTAATTTGCGTGCATATTTTAAAGTAAAAACTTGACAAAGTGATTTAAGGCAGTTATGTATAAATAAACGGACACTGATAAAATGATTTAAGGCAGTTATGTATAAATGAACCGGACACTGATAAAATGATTTAAGGCAGTAATATACATATATGTCTTCCAGACATTTATGTGAACAGTCTATGGCAATATAATGATGCTTCAAGGGACTCGCAACTCTCAAGTTATTTTGGGTACAAAAATTTGAACTTAAAAGACTGAAAATTTCAAAGAGAAACAAACATTGATGGATGAGAGATTGGAATCTCTCATCCATCAATGTTTGTAGATTATTTTTTGATTTGAATTGGAAGCATCACTACTTCTAATATATATCTACAAATGATGGCAGTTAATTGGTTGAAAATGAATGCTTATAAGAATGGAATTGTAGCAGTGAAGTATTTTCGGCGTAGAAAGAAAGAAATAATAAGACAAAGTTGATGAAAGTGATTAAAATTATTATTAATTAATAAAAATGTGAATGAAAACGAAAAGATTGTGCTAATTGTTTTGACAATAAGATAGAATTTAAATTTTTGAATGGAATTCAATTAGTATAATTTGAGACAGGAGAAAATTTAATGGTAGGAAATATCCCAAACAATTAGCCTCGTCGGAAAGATTAGCAAAATTGTATTAGCGATCAAAATGCGACATGTTCAAGCATTAACCATTTCAAGAAAATCATCGAAATAACCAAATTACAGAAAATAAAAGAAAGAACTGCTATTATCAATGAATTAATTACTCTAAGAACTTTTAATGATTTACCTATTTGTTAGAAACGCTGAGAAAATACTCTATCGATTGTCACAAAGTGTTTTATATGAGACATAATCATGAAAGTTGACTAAGAAAAGTCAACATGTTAGCAATGCAATTTGCCACATAATAAATGAGCGAAACAAATCCTGACAGTGGCAATTCATAAGAGAATAAAGTAAAATGGAAAGGTTAATTGATGTCATGTCACATTTGTGTATCGTATCGAAGAAGGGATACATTATTTAAGTTACAGAAGAGTGCATGACGCTTGATCAGGTTGATTTTTGTGGCTGTGACATTGTTGGCTAACATAGAAATAAGATATTATTTTGAGTGAAATGTAATTAAGAGATAAGTCCGTGTCACAACTCTCATCTTTTTGTTTAAAAAAAATTTTCTTTCAAAATGAAATGGATCTTAAAGTAGCGCAGACGTACATAAACAAAAGCGAATCAATGTGTAAATAATTTTGTTAAGTGATAAATATTCAAGGCTAAATGAAGAAAAAATGAAACCATGTTGTCCACGAATTAAAGTCGTCGGGAATGTTGATAAAATTTCCACTTTTCATCGGGTTCATCATCCATTGAGAATTGTTGCTGTTCGTTTGCCGTTTGATATCTTTGTTGATACTCTTGTAATTCATATCTATGCTGTTCTTCATTTTCATCATTTTGTAGTTCACGTTTAATTTGTTGTTCATTTAGCTGTTGTTTATGGCGTAATATTCGCTGGTGTTGCTGATCAAACCGTGATTTTTGATTGCCACTTGTTCTAAAAAGATATTAGATAGCACCCAATAGTGAGATTAGTGCTAGTAGGAATAGCATTAATTTGTTCTCCAGCTTCCAATCTTATAAAATCTGACAAAATTTGATTTGAATACGTCTTCATGAAATGAGAATCGAGAAAGTGTGATATATCTTATATCCTATTATTCTAATATAAGCCGTAAAAATGCTAACGTTTGGTTAATTCGGCTAAAACCGGATAGATGATTCGAATCACTGATAATCAAACCAGAAGATATTATTGACTGATAGTGATTTAACAATTTAAACCGCTATCCTCATTTATGAACTTTGTTACATCAAATAATTGAATAAATCGATTTCTTAATGTGATTATCTGTTGTAGCAAATTATTATATGTAAAAAAAAAATAATTGATACTCTTCATTTAGAACATGATAATATGCGTAGTATTGTGACTTTCCGGCTTCCTGATCATCCGGATTGCAGCTTACGAGAATATAAACATTTTGTTGATAAAAGAAGGGATCATCAACATAAGATATCTATAAATTAATATAGCAAGAATATAACGAAGTTACTTAGAATTACTTTTGAAAAAGAAGAGGGAAGGAAGCATAGCATTGCTATCCTATCGAAGAGTTTGGGAAATAACTGTCGAAAAAATTTCAATTCAACTTTTATATTTATACAAGAAGAACACTCTCAAACAGAAAAGTTCTTCTTTCTTCCATTATAAATTGTGGAAGCTTCTAAGCAGTTATTGAGGAATAAATGGCAAAAATGAAATTTATGAAATATTCTCATAAACAATTTACCAATATTAATGCATGAATTCAGACAGTAAAGTTGATTTTATAATAAAATTATATAAATTAATTTAAAAAGTGATTTTCTCATTCAATGAAACTTCCAAATGTCTTCTATGGCTTTTTGATTTTATTGATACTCTCACTTCTCCGTACTTGTTTACCTTAACATATTCATTTTCATAATCGATGCCTTCGGCAAATGCTTCCCTCATGCGAGCACTTCCATACCACACTTCATTCTTTGCCCAACTTACAATCTTGGCTACTTGTCTGCTACGATATTCCAGTGCTTCATGAATGTTAGCTTGTCCAGCTTGTACGAATTTAAATCTAAAAAACTACAGATGATAAAATATGCATATAGTGCCCAAGAGGAAATTCATTACCAGGAAATTAGAATTTTCATTTGCATCGATTACTCATCTAATTCAGTTCAGCTTGCAGTTTTACTTTGTTTCCTTCATTTGGAACATATATATATATTCCCGCTATTTACCTCAAACCTTAATGACAAATTTCATTCATAGATGGCATGGCAGATGGTAAATGGAAGAATTATTGAACTTTTATTCACAAATTTTCGTTAGTAAAGTCAGAAATTTAAATTGCGCTAAAATTTCAAATCAAAAATTACGCTAAATTTCCATTATTATTACTCCTGGAAAGCACACGAAAACCGCCACAGATCGTTTTGGCCTTGTGATGACGATCCACAAAACGAGCACAAACTCCGTTTTGAACCAAATAAGCATGTCCAAATGTTTCATAATGGCCAAGTTCGTCATACATTACCCTAAATATGTCATATCATCAAATTACAGGTAGTGTATTACGCTGTAATTCGGGAATTGCACAAACAAGTCATCTAAGTTAAAGGAGTGAATAAATAAGATGATACATATATGTACCAAAAAGCGACGTATGCTCTCCTTGTAGGTACTTTGAGATGAACGGTATGAAATGTCAGGAAATCTTTAACGGTTCGATCACCGAGTAAGGATCCATCATTACTGACCGTTGTCCAGTACTCTTCATCGATCTTAAATTGCTTGTATAAAAATGAAAATCACACAGTATCATCAATTAATTCAATAAATCATAGAAAAAGTTACCCATACTGCATCGCATATAGCAAATATGAAAAAGATCACGGGCAACATTGATTTCAGTTTTGCTGAAAATATCTTTTTTTGAAAAATTAATTTCATTTAAAGAAATAGATATTCGATGATATCCGATGTGAAAGAATACGGGTCGTACTAAATTTAATATCATAAAAAAATTGGAAAAAGAAAAGGGAAGGTAAATAAATTATTAATGTGTAGTGCATAGCATATCGAACTCTCATAGTGGAAGTTTAACGTTATACCTTTACTGGTAATTACTATTGTTTCTTGTTGAATACTGTTTATTAGTAGTAAAGCAAACGGTGAAATTACCGAATTGCGAGTTTTAAAGAATTTCCTCAGTCAATAAGAAATCAATTTAAAATTTAGGAAATAAAAGAAATTTGTTTTAGTATCAGAGTAAATGAATGGAAGGGAGTTTATTCTATTTTGAAATGTTTAATAGGAAAAAAGTGTATTTAGAAGAAGAAAGGAAAAGAAAGAAATGAAAAAGTTGGAAGGAACGGTAGTGAGAAGAAGCCAAATATAATAATATTAAGGCGGTGTTATCAGAGAAATGAAAATTCTTTGATTTGAGCAAAAAAACGAGACGCTTTAAGCAAATCAAAAACTGAATTCAAAATTTTCTCTTAGCGTCCATTCATTTTGTTCATGCATAGAAAGCGGCGATGGCTTCATAAACGGAGATCGATGGCTTCATACATACATATACATATAATGTCTAGCAGACCTTTTTTTACAATTAAATTCAATTTCATCTAACAGCCAATACCGTAAAGATGAAGGAATTTTCGAGATCATTGATTTATCATTTAATTAGATTCAACTAATATAGCTTGTTAATTTCAGTAATATAATTATCAATAGGTTTGATAATATATTATCTATGATTAGATTAGTTTAACTGCATGATAACGAATGCTTTCAGTAAATAAACATTTAATGCAATTAAGAAAGAAAATGAATATATGCAAAATCAATTCTAATAATAATAATAGTAATAATATATCCAATTGTTATCATATTTTAAAATCGCTTTTATGCTATTATTCATTTCATTTTTTAATAATAATAATAATAATAATAATAATAACAATAATAACAATAATAATAATAATAAATCTGTTCATAAATACGGAAAAGCTTAAGTGAAAATGAAATATTTTTCGAATTTTTCTTTTTTCCATTTGTTCAATCAGAAAATGAAATGAAAAAACTGTCAAGAAGAAAAAATGCTTTTAATATTTTGAAAAAATGCCTTAAAGAAAATATTAATTGTTTCTTTATCAAAAGTATTGATCTAATTGTTTTTCTTCTCTGATTTTGAATTCTTTCAATAGGAATTATTTGGATAGGATAGGATAGGATATTATTATCTTACAATACAAACGATATGTATGAACAAAAAGTAATTAACGAAATGATTGAATCCTTAAAATTTTTCTTTTCCTTAAGTTAATTGCACTTTAAATTGAAAATGAATAAATTAACGATTGATTTAACGACATGGATATTTATTATCTGAAATGTTGAAATCACTAGTTTCGATGTAAAAAGATAGAGGAAGGCTTTTTTTAATCTATCAGAACAAGAAAATAATGACAGTATACTTCCAAAATTAGTAGTACTTTTATCAATTAAATGAGCCATACAAATTTAATAATTGGTTGTTTACGCTTAATTTTCATATAATTGTCGTGCGATATTGAAAATAGAAAAAAAGGGGAAATTTTTCAAATGATAAAATATGATCAACAAATAATGATAAATCGTTGAATAAATACACTGTGTACATTCGATACCAAAAATAAATTGGTCATTTAATCAGTAGTATAAATAAATATTTTTAGTTGTAACTTTTTCCTGTTCCAAAAAAATTCATCAATGCAAAAAAATCTTAATAAATATTTATGTATAACTTAAAAAAGTAAAATATATCATTTGAATATTCATTCTATAAGAATTAAAATGAAAATTTCAGGTTCCAGATTTTTAATAAACAAATAATAAAATGGATCTGAACATAGAACCTTTCGAAAATTTCAAGAATTAAATTCAAAAATTTAATATGGAAAATTAGAAGAATTTTATATGCAAACTGTCAAATTTATGTTTTCAAATAATTCAATAATAAATCTTATTTAAAATGAGTAGAAAGAACGGTCAGCAATTATACGTTTCTTCCAATTGTTAGACGAATTTAAAAAGCTTTCAACTTTGCTTCTTCCAAATTCAAAACTTTAATTTTATTTATCCTTGCTTGAATTCATTTTATCAAAACGATACACATCAATGGAAGGAATGATTTCTAATTTAACGCAAAAAATATTTGAAAATAAATTGAATAATCTTAATCATTGTTTCTATACTCCTATATTGCTAATGTTACATGACGAACTGTTTATTTCGTTAATGACTCATTCAAATATTATGGCTGCTGATGTCAAAAAATATTTCTTCATTTGTTATAATCACCATAATCATTCCTCAAAGTGATATACAGAAATTGATCAGATTAACTTAATATCACCAAAGCAAAAGAAAAGAAGTAAGTTATCGATATGGTAAGATGAAAGAAAATTAAATAAAGTTTAAATCATTCTATATCAATGCAACATTGTTTTTAATTTAAAAAGGTAATTTTCTATTTAAATAGAAAAGGTATATTTCAAATATATGAAAAAAGAAAAAAATAATTATTAATAGCAAATTTTGCATTTCTTCAAAGTGCTATATGAACAAAGAGTGAAGTAGAGATAGTTTTAACTCAATTATACAAGTTAAAATTTGACCTTTTAGTTGACCTTTCAACCAAGATTTACACTCTCACAATCCTTGATCCTCTCTCCTCTCTTAAATACACCCATAGCAATTGACAGTTACTTAAAGTAGCAATTTGCTTCGTCTCATTCATACCACAAGTGGTATCAATTTTTTTCCACATTGTTATGCAAATAATATCTGCAGATGTGATACCATTTATTTGTGCCAGAAAGAAATTTAGTCAATTTTCAGCTTTTTTAAACAATCATCCTAACATAGACAACGATAGAAGCAATTGCTGCTGTAGAAATTTGTTGTGAAAATGGTATTAAATTTGAATTTTGAAATAGTTCATAGGATTGGATTTAGATCAGAATGCATGAGATCAGATGTCAATAAATGACAACTCATATTTGATATTTACATAAGTGTTGACATCGTTTGTTTTATTTTTTCTTTTTTTAGCAGATATCTACCTGTTCGCAAATTTTGGACGATTACTTCAACATCAATCTTCTTATTCATCCCATTCTTTCTTCTATCTGAGAAATAATTAAATAAAAAAATAATGAAATTAAAGAGGCTCTGAGAGTTTCGCAGTAAGTTTCGGAACATAAAGAAAATTTCTCGAACTTTTTTGGTTGATAATCTTTTAGTTTTTTTAATTAGCAAAGTTTAAATTCAATTTTTACTGTCTGAAACAAATCACATTGGTACCATATCTGTGAAATAGATCTAAGCAAGGAAATTTCGCATCATACATATATCATTTAGCGTGAAACTTCAAATATATCTTCTATCAACAATTCCGATCATGCAGGAATGTGAAATTGATTGTGTAATTGTGTAAATGACGTAAATAAACAATAACAAATTTGATTAAGAAACAATTGATTTAATTCAATTCTTTTGGCCCAAAAAACACACACATAAACTTATTTATGTAAATGGGAAAAGACAACGTTTTGTTGAAATGTAAAGATAAAGATGAAATTATTGAATGAATATTCGTTGTAACTTAATGATTCAAAATCCAAAAAACAAAGGAAAAATTGTATTATGTATAATTATAATTATTTTTTTGAATTTCTTCTTTCCCTTTTAATTGTTATGACTATTATATTCCAAATATTCAACTTTGAATATTTTGTAATTAATAAATATATCGGTGTATTTACGTTGTAATGGAAAATGGAATTTGACAAAAGATTTCAGTGTTTGTTCCACTAACAATTACTGAAAGGATCGCACCTGTCCACGTTTTTGAAATACCCGAAATTTTTACCGGTATTTCTATTTTTGTTTTCTTTCATTTAATACTCTCTCTTTGTTTTTAATTTTCTCTTCGTGTCTAACTATTCCGTCAGTAGCTAGCTATTCAATTCCTTATTGTTTCTTTTTTGTATGTGTTTTGTTTATAGCTTGCAAAATGATTTAATTATGGTGAAAACAATCAGAATAAGAAGATGCAGAAAAGTTTGCTAATTAAAATTTTCCCGCTTGTTTACTACAGTAATCAAAGAATTGAAATAAATATTAATTAGTAGAAGATATCTTCAAAAAATTCCCAAGATTACGAATTTAACAAACTTTATCGTACACTAAAATCGAATTCATTTAAATAATTATCAGTCTAATTCGAAATGATTAATTTAGTCAAAAAGAAAGACAAATGAATTAATGATTGTGAAAATTTTGATCTTTTGTATGAGATAAATTATAAGAAAAATATGATAATCATAAGCATTCATCGATTTTTTGAAAGAAAAAAGCTACTATATTAAGCTTAAATCATAGAGCCATTATCAGTTTGAAAATTGTAAAATCAAGAATTACAGTCAAACGATGGAAGGCCATTTGATTTTCCTTTCCTTTTCTTTCTAGTCATCCAATTTTTTCATCACAACCTATCATTATCCTTATTATTGTTATTATGATCATTGTCATCATCATCATCATCATTATTATTATTATTATTAATATTATTGTCATCATCGTTGTAACTACTGTTACATCGTCACCGCTACTGCTTCTAACATCTACTATCATCATTGCCGTTATCACAGTCATTGTAATCAGTACTATCATAATCATCATTATCACTACTATTGTCGTCATCAATTATCACTGGCAACATTACTATCATTATCATCATCATCACTATAACTATTATCATAATTATCACTGCTACTATCATCATTCTTATTACTACTATAATCGTCGTCATAGTAACATCATTATAATCACTGTAACTACTATTATCATTATCC